TTGCTGAGAACATGAAAATGTTTTGGAGTGAGATTAATGGATTGACAGTTAAAAAATAGGAGAGGAGAGTTATTACATGAAGAGTTGGAAGTATTGGGAAGACGGAGGGAATATTTTGAGGAACTGTTAAATGTTGTTGAAGGTAGGGAAGCTGTGATTTCATGCATTGGGGAGGGAGGTATAACATCATGTAGGAATGAGGAAGAGCCAATTGTGAGTATGAGGTAGGTGCTTGAGGCAGTGGACAGACTGGAGGGGGGGGAGGGTAAAGCAGCTGGGATTGATGGGATAAAGAGAAATGTTAAAAGCAGGTGGGGATATAGTTTTGGAATGGTTGGTGCTTTTATTTAATAAATGTATGGAAGAGGGAAGGTACCTAGGGATTGGCATAGAGCATGCATAGTTCCTTTGTATAGAGGCTAAGGGAACAAAAGAGATTGTAAAAATTATAGGGGAGTAAGCCTGTTGAATATACCTGGTAAAGTGTGTTAGTTATTATTGAAAGAATTATAAATAAGACGGAAAGCAGGATCATAGATAAGCAAGGAGGCTTTAGGAAGGGTAAGGGGTGTGTAGACCAAGTGTTTACAGTGAATTTATAGGTAAGCAGTATTTAGATAAGAGTAAAAAGGTTTTCATTTATGGGTTTTGAAAAGGCATATGATAGGGTGCATAAGAAAGCAATGTGGCAGATGTTGCAAATGCATGGAATAAATGGTAGGTTACAGAAAGAAGTTAAGAGTTTTTACAAGGATATTAAGGCTCAGGCTAGAGTATGTAGGAGAGAGGGAGATTATTTCCTAGTAAAAGTAGGCCTAAGGGATGTGTGATGTCACTATGGTTGTTCAATATATTTGTAGATGGGGATGTAAGAGAAGTGAATGCTTGGGATTTGGCAAAAGGTGTGGGATTAAGAGATAAATAATCAACCCCAAAGTGGGAGTTGTGACAGTATTTTTTACTGATGGCACTGTGCTTTTGGGAAATTCTGAAGAGAAGTTGTGAAGGTTGGTGAATGAGTTTGGAAGGGTATGTTAAGAAGGAAATTAAAAGTGAATGTAGGAAAGAGCAAGGTGTTGAGTGTAACCAAAAATTTAGGTAATGAAAGATTGGATATCAAATTTGAGGGAGGGAGTTTGGAGGAAGTGAATGTATTCAGATATTTGGGAGTGTACTTGTCAGTAGATGGGTCTGTGAAAGACGAGGTGAACCATAGAATTGATGAGGGGAAAATGGTGAATGGAGCACTGAGGAGTTAGTGGAGATAATGTTATCCATGGAAGCAAAGAGGAGAATGTATGAGAGTATATTGGTACCAGTGCTCTGATATGGGTGTGAAGCATTGGTAGTGAATATTGCAAGAAAGAAATGGCTGGAGGCAGTGGAGATGTTGTGTCTGAGGGTAATGTGTGGTGTGAATAATGATGCAGAGAATCCATAGCTTGGAGATTAGGAGGAGGTGCAGAGTTTCTAAAAGTTATATCCAGAGTGTAGAGGAAGGGTTGTTGAGGTGGTTCGGACATTTAGAGAAGATGGAACAAAATAGGATGACTTGGAGGGCACATAAATCTATAGTGGAAGGAAGGCAGGGTAGTGTTCATTTTAGGAAAGGTTGGAGGGAGGGGATAAAGGAGGTTTTATGTGCAAGGGGGCTTGGACTTCCAACAAGTGTGTGAGAGCATGTTAGGAGCGCATGGAGACTAATGGTTTTTATGACTTGATGTACTGATGGAGTGTGAGCAAAATAACGTTTATGAAGGGATTCCTGGAAGTGGGAAGTACAGTGCCTGTGCTCTGAAGGATGGGTGTTGATATGTTGCAGTTTTTTAACTGTAGTGTAGGCATGCATCTGGCAAGACAGTGATGGAGTGTATGATGTTGAAAGTGTTTATTCTGTTTTGAGCCACCCTGCCTGAGTGGGACATAGCTGATGTGTTAATAAAAAAATGTTTCATTTTGCTGTTCAAGTAATGTAGTTTGCATGAATTATTATAATGGTAGGCACAGAAGAAAGTCACTAATATGCAGTGCATTTTTGGCAACTATTCATAAGGGTTAGTTAAGTGTTACTTAAAAACTAGACTTAGACTATTAAGTAGAACTTTTTGTGCAGTTTACTACAATCATAAGTACAATAAGAAAGTTAGCTAATAACAGAAGGTCACTTGCTGAGGATCTGATTACCTCAAGCTCCTCACCGTTCACTGTTCTCTGTATTAGACTTAAGAAGCCACTGGCTGGTGAAAAGTGTCTAGAATAAAGATGCTTAAATGTTGCACAAATATTATATATCAACTTGTCAGCTCTCTAAACTGTTTATACAAAATCTGAGTGTATATTGCAAATTCTTCTAAATCACTTAATAAATGGTCTTTATCAGGATAAAGGTGAAGTTTTTCGTCCTCATCGAGCCCCTCCTTCACCACCCATTCAAGGACAAGCAAAACAAGAAGTGAAGGAAGTTGCTGCAGATGTAGAACTGCGACCCAAACATCAACAGGTTGGTTACAGAGCTTTCCATGGCAAATATAGAACTAGCGGTTAGCATTATAAATCTTACTTTACATGTCCTGGTTGATCAGGCATGCACCAGACTTGCCTGACCCAGGGCTGAGCTGTGGGGGTAGGAACTCTTAAAACTTGCCAATAATCATTATGATGTACTGTATGGTGCAAGCACACCACACACAGAAACTGAAACAGGTCAGAGGACTTGAGTTAGGTTTGAATACCCTACAAATTTTTGCAGATGCACTCAGAGATGTATTAGTGGACATCAGTGCTGTACGAGTAGTGCATTTTTAAATTCCTGTACTTGATTACTAACCAAACTCCAGTGGAACCTTGACTTACGAGTTCAATCCGTTCCATGACTTAGCTTGTAACTCAATTTGCTCGTATATCAAATCAATTTTCCTCATTTAAATTAATTGAATAGCCATTAATCCAGTCCTGCACTCTGAAAGCAAGAAAAAATACTTGAATATGACACTATTATCAACTGTACAGCTTATCTATCACAATTCATCCAATATGACATAATAAACAATGCAATTAACACAGAAATACAATATAATCTCTAGAATGAATAAAATAGGCCATAATATGGTGGCAGAGGCAACGGCAGAAGCGTCCGCCATTTCCTGTCCCACTTTGACTATAGTATCTTCCCATGCTCTTATTGTAAGAGAAAACATGCTCTTATTGTAAGAGAAAACAGAGTATTTTTGAGGCTAACTGCAGTAGATTATTAAAGTGATGTACTGTATTTATAAATAAGAAATATCATATATAAAAACATAATAAATCATACTACAGAATGTAAAGAAATATTAAATTGTTTATTTAAAGTGTATATGTAGTTACACACTTGGAGCAAAGGTGGTGGGGGAGGTTGAGGGTGGAGAATGTTGAGGGTGTGGCATATGATGTCAGTGGCCCTGTAAACCAACAACAACAACATTTTTTTTGTTTGATCGCTAAACTTAACTGATGCATTTTTTTTTTTTTAACAAGTTGGCCGTATCTCACCATGGCAGGGTGACCCAAAAAGAAGGAAATCCCCAAAAAGAAAATACCTATATCATCATTCAACACTTTCACCTCACTCATACATATTCATTGTTGTTGCAGAGGTGCCCAGAACACAACAGTTTAGAAGCATATATGTATAAAGATACACAACATATCCCTCCAAACTGCCAATATTCCAAACCCCTCCTTTATAGGTAGTAGGTTGGTAGACAGCAACCACCGAGGGAGGTACTACTGTCCTGCCAAATGAGTGTAAAACGAGAGCCTCTAATTGTTTTACATGATGGTAGGATTACTGGTGTCTTTTGTCTGTCTCATAAATATGCAAGCTTACAGGTATGTTTTGCTACTTCTACTTACAATTAGGTCACACTACACATACATGTACACGTTTATTTATACACACTCATCTGAGTTTTCTTTGATTTTATCTTAATAGTTCTTGTTCTTATTACTTTTCCTTTTATATCCATGGGGAAATGGAATAAGAATCTTTCCTCCGTAAGCCATGCATGTTGTAAAAGTTAACTAAAGTGCCAGGAACAATGGGCTAGTAACCCCTTTTCCTGTACAGATGTACTTATCGAACCTAAATTTGAAACTACCCAAGGTTTTAGCTTTGATAATTCTATTTACTCACGTGCTAAAACCTTGGGTAGTTTAAAATTTGGGTTGGATAAATACATGAGTGACAGGGGTTGGATTTGAATGGGACTTGTATGTGAGTAAATAGAATTATCAAAGCTTACTGCTTGGGTAGCATTGAAAATTGAGTTGGGAAAATATTCTGTTAATGTAATGGATTTTGAAGGACCTGCTTAGTATGGGCCAGCAGCCCTACTGTAGTGTTCCTCCTTTCTTATGTTCATATGTTCTTATAATCATACTAGGCAGACTGTTGCACTCATCAGCATAAGAACATAAGAAAGGAGGTACACTGCAGTAGGCCTGTTGACCTATACTTCGCAGGTCCTTCACAAATCCAACCCACTAACAGAACAAACGCTTACCAAGCAATAAGCTTTGATAATTCTATCTACTCACGTCCAAGTCCCACTCATATCCAACTCCTCTCACTCATGTATTTATCCAACCTAAATTTGAAACTACCCAAGATTTTAGCTTCGATTGGACCTTGGGTAGCTTTAAAAAGAGAGTGGACAAATATATGGGTGGGAGGAGCATGTATGTATATACAATATATATTTTACGATGTTTTCATGTGTTTTATGATTGTTCATGGTTCAATAGGTTAAGGAAGCAGTTATGTATTAGATTTCCCTACAATATATTGGGGCACCAAACATTCGCGATTTTTCATTATTCGCCAGGCTCTTGATCCCCTAACCCTCGCGAATGTTTAGGGAGACCTGTATTTAATAGTAATAAACAACTTTTTTTATTGTTGGTTTCTGTAAACAGGTTTTGTAAACATTGTATTGATGATAATATTTGTGCAGTTATTGTGCTGCATTCATACATTATGCACTATATTGGTCTCAGGCCACAAAAGTTACTTGAAAAAATAAAATATTAAAAAATAAAAGAAAAAAGTGCAATAAAAGTAAAAATAATATCACCGAGTGAGCGGCAGTCCCCGATGTTGCTGTAAGCGGTTAACTTTTGGTCAGATTCATGCCTCTGTATCTCGGTAAGTAATGATCGCAAAAAAAAAAAAAATTTCTTTAAAACACCTACAAAAATATTCTTAAGGTTTTGGTAAGAATTTTGTTTTTTTTCTGAATGTTTTTCGACACAGAACGAGACTTCAGAATCAGGGGTCCCAACAGTCAAAGAGTTAAATAGATCTTGGAAAACCTCCCCCAAATTCTAGAGTAAAAGAAAAATCAACAAAAGACAATTGTTTCCATAGCAAGGAACCCTCTCTTTCTTGATCCAAGGAATTGGACCTGCTCTCCCCTTCCTTGGATCAAACCAGGATACCTTCCATTTCCCCAGACACTGTATAACCACAGCTGATTTAACGACTCCCATGAATGTAATAATAATCTTGTGAACATCTTTGAGGCTCATACAGACATAAATTACTCCTACAACAATTTCTGAAAAAGTACTAGTTTTAAATTATCTACAATATTGCTGCACAAGTATTTTCTCTACTTATTTCAATACATCACTTGAAAGAACATCTTTTCAAGCTGTCTCTAAATAATTAGAATAGTACACATCCACAAAAGTGGTGATCAAACCAGTGTTTACATAGACCAATATCTAAACTAATGTTTTTTGCAACTGTTTGGCAGTGATTCACTTACTGTGCTTACTCCATGCCAATTTGGCATGGTTTAATTAAGCAGCTTTTGAAAGAATTGAGTATCCTATTGAACATTTTACTGATCTTCATGAAACTTTTGATATAGTTGCCACTGTGTTCTTTGTCTCAGACTTACTACTACAGACTCTGAGGGTGCACATACAGCCACTTCAAATCCTTCTTAACAAACAGACCTAGCACTTCCTCAGGAACCCAACCAATTAAATTATGTATTCCCCAATTTAGCATCCTGGACCCTCTTCTCTTCCTTATCTATATAAATACTTTTTTGTATGCCTCCCAGAATCTTAACCCTTAAACTGTCCAAATGTAGAACTACGTTCACTTGCATAGCGCTCCGAACATAGATCCACATTTTATTTTTCATGCCTTCAAATTTGGCGTGATAGGCCTGAGTCGCCTAGACATGAGAGAATGGCTCTGCACACTCAGTGTGTGCAGTTTGAAAAAAATCGGGGATGCTGGGGTACCACGTGATAGCACCAGTTAGTTTCAGCTCCATCTTGGGTCAACATTATGGCAAACCCCTGTGATTCACTCATGCCTCGTCGTGAAACAGAATGTGAGTTTAGTGGATTTGACATTGATATGGCCACTAATTAGTGAAACTATTGATGACAACCCAGATGACCCTCAGCCCATCACCTCTGGGGTGGAGAGTGTGGCTATATCAGACCTGCAGCCCATCACTTCTGAGGTGGCCAGTGTGGCCACAACAGACCCTCAGACCGTCACCTCTTGGGTTGCTAATGTTACTACCCAAAGGCAAATCCGCAAGAGGAAATTATGATTTTCCGTGCATTATGGTGTTGACATTAGTGAAAGTGATAGAAGTGATGATGATGAAATTGATTTTATGCCCATAGAGGATTCGTCGAGTGAAAGTGATTATCATTATTCCCTAGTGAAACATACTTTTAGGCATCATTGCCTACGGTCAGGCATTGTGCCATATGCAGCCAGAAAGGTCATGGCAGGTCATTATCCAAAACCCTAGCTACTGATAGTGATAGTAATCATGAAGGAGAAGATGCTGGGATGGAGGAAGAGAAGGTGGGTGGCACGGTGCCTGGACCTTGTGGCGCAGTGGGTGGGCAGACAAAGGAAAGCCCGGCACCCTCTCAACCATGTGCTGCCTCCATTCCTGTCCTCCCTCCTGCTTCCCCATGCCACAGGTCCACCCTGCACCATGTGACCACGATTGGAACTGGACAGAAAGTACATCATTTGTGCCACATCCTTTCAATTTTGATGCCATTTTACGTGGCATCATGCCACAGTGTCCCATCACAAATGAGTCTGCAGAGTTTGACTATTTTCAACTATACTTTGATGAGCCAGTAATGAACCTGATTGTTACACAGACCAACATATACTACTGGTATACAGTGCACAGAATAGATGTTGCAGAATCGTCACAGCTGCAGAGGTGGAAAGATGCATCTGTGGCTGAAATGTATTTATTCCTTGGCACTGTCATGCTTATGCCACGTACATATAGGAACAATATAGCACACTGGTCCACAGACTACTTCATTAGTACTCCAGCCTTACATGACCTTCCTTGCAGCAGATTCACTCTGTTGCTATGAATGATGCACTTCTCAGACAGGAATATGCCAAACCAATATGACCTATACAAAATCTGGAAAATGTTTATGTATTTGAAG